TCAACCTTTAAACTTCTACCTTTAGAGATTTTTTTTTCATAGTGTGTTCTTTACAATATTATTTTTGAATTACTTTCAGGAAAAGTATCTGTTCTTTCTTAGCAATTGTCAAGCAACAACAGGCTTAGCCCAGAAAATTCCATTTTAACGCTTGTTTTTATCCATTATTTCATATCTCCAGTTTTAACTTTTTCAGGCTTCTTATGCATTAATTTACATATACATACAATTTTTTCAAAGCAACTCATTAGGGTTTATGATGATTTTTGTTGGTGAAGCTGTCGATAATTAAGAGATTAGAGTATTATAATAAAAAAAAATATGAATTTCAAAAATTGTATTTAATTTGTGGTAGAAAATCTAGTTATTTTGATACAGAGTAGTTAAACTTATTTTTTATCTGATAATGAAAAAGTGGCTACCAGTGGGCTCTTGGATGATAGTGAAGATGAAGGATGGCAAGTGATGGAACCAAAAAATAAAGGCATTGTAACCAGAGATGTGTTGATTTGGTCACATGTAAGTATATATAGAAAATTAATACTTAAACAGTCGAGTAAAATAAAATCAAAAGGAAGGACTGCATTAAAAACAGCAAATCTAAAGCTGTGATAAATAACATTTTAATGAACAAAACAAGCCCACACAAAATTAGATTAAAAATGCTGCATAAATTAAAAGGATCTCCAGGGTATAGGCTATAGTGTGGGGATATAAAATGTGCCCTGGGTTTTGGAGGTGACTGTGGAAGTAAGACCCATATTGCAGTGGGGATACGCTATCTACCAGTCTTAACCTCAACATGGAAAAATATGCCTCCTTCTGTATTTTCTATCACGTCTTTTGTTATAGTAAACCAGCATTTATGTTGATTGTGGGTGTTCATGAATTATAAAGTGGTGTTTTTTTGGGGGGTGTTGTTTGTGTTGTTTTAATTTCATTGCTTAGTTTCTTATAAGAGACTCATTTGTTAATATTTAGAAATAATGAACAGAAAACAAGTTAGTAACTAATAAGTCATTATTGTCTAGGCTACTAACCATGGCTGACATAAACTTACTGTACAGAAGATACTAACATGAATCAAAACTCACTGGAAGAATTTCTTAGAAAGTTTTTGAGCTAGCCAATGACAAGAAGTACATTTGTTAATGCAAGTATCCCTTCAAAAATAAGAATAATGCATGGAAGATAGAGACGTTCTGGAGACTGATTAAGTTCATAAATTTTCTTAAATTTTTTAATAAAAACTTAAGAGTTCAAAGCACTGTAATTACCTGATATATAGTTACCATGTTCTATTTGCTATCAGAAACAATATTTTTGATTTTCATTGTTTTTTTAGTTTATTAATTTTATATCAAATTTGAAATATTTTAAATGATATTGTACAATAAAGGTAAAAGACTTATATATATATCAATAGAATAAGATATTGTTATATGAATTAGTATAAAGAAGTACTTGTGTTCTTTTCGTATAAATATAAAACATTTTTCTAAGATGTGAATGTTCTCTCTTCCTTGCAGGATTGTATGTATTAGATGATATCATAAAACAAATCTGTTTGTCATATGAGAATTGTTTCTCGGTGGTGTGTCATTGGCTTTTTTGTATTTTCAAAAAATAACTTGCATAAATGAAAAGTTTATTTTTAGGTAACTATTGTTTATCTTACTATGGCAATCTGAAAACAGAAGATGTTATGATGGCCAGAACTGGCATCCCTTTTGAAATATGAATGTGGTATTTACTTATTTTAATGTTTTTTTTTTATTATTATTATTATTATTATTCAGGCTAACTTTTTTCGGTGGTTAGATGCAATCAGTTCTGACAGCAGGAAATAAATCATCAGCCTTTTTTTACAGCTTGATATATGGGAATGTACTTTTTTTTGTAATCAAGACATAGTCATGACTATGGAACTTTAAGTAGCATTTAGAATTCTTTGATCTTTACAACTCGTAGATTTTTAAAAACAAAATCACAATACGATACCTTACCTCCTATCATCTAATAGCTAGAATCATCAAGAAAAGCTATTATGTGAGAGGAGGTAAGTATCCATCGGAAATACATTTTTAGTGTAGGAAAATGTTAGCATTGCATATCATATATGTTTTATTTTAATTGTAGTATAACCCTAATGCATTTTTCATTTTGTTATCAAACCAATGGGCGAGAAGGACTTGGTTCTTATTTTAGGTGACAAAGTTTTGAATATTACTTTTATTTTTTGTCAAAACAGGTTGATTCAGTGCTAGCAGCTCAAGACCACCTTACTAGCAAGGAGTATATTCAAGGGTATGCATGCAATAAAACAAAACCATAGGTGAGGTTCTGAGATATTTGAGAAATCTTTTATGATTAAAGAAGGTTTATACTTTTAGTCTTGTATCATTCAGTAAGCCATGCCTGAAAACAAGGCTTGTCAGTTTTACTGTGAGGTTTTCATGGAGAGCACAGATGCCTGAATATGACTTTAAAGAAAACATTTCTTGAACTAAAAATTGTTGAAAATAATTTGAATCTTTAAAAAAATGCCAGGTAGAATGTGTAAGAAGTTTTGTTAAATATCTGTGATACAAAATAATGATCTATATATTTGTTTTATACTATATTAGAATTTTGGCCAGGTGGTTAGGGTGCTCGACTCGTAATCTGTGGGTCGCGGGTTTGAATACCCTTCTTGCCAATCATGCTCGCCCTTTCAGCCATGGGGGCATTATAATGTGATGGTCAATCCCACTATTCATTTGTAAAAGAATAGCCCAAGAGTAGGTGGTGGGTGGTGATGACTAGCTGCCATCCCTCTAGTCTTACACTGTTAAATTAGGGACAGCTAATGAAAATAGCCCTCGTGTAGCTTTGCTCGAAGTTCATAACAATATTTGAATCTAAGCTTTAAGTTATTAGAATACATTTTGTTGGAGTGAATAATGACTAAAAAGCTAATACTAAAGTATGATAATTTCAAGTAGAATAACTGGAGACTTTTCTTAATGATTTTAATTGTTTGTTTAAAATTTTCATAAACTCTTGTGGTCTTAATTTCTGTAAAGAGAAACTACTGGATTAATGCAACAGAAACTAAAAATGTAAAATAGATGTTTAAACATTGATCAAGGGTATTGAAAATGGTTTAATAAAATTCCACAAGTACATATTAATATTTTTTGGGACCCCCATTTTCCCTTCGTCCTGTCTGTTGTGACGTACAAGCATACAGAAATATATGCGCATGTGGTTGGCTTAGTGGGACACTCTTCTATGCTCGTGTGCTTTACAATGTGTTGCAGATATCTTATGGCTAAGGGTAGTCCAAATTAATGGAAAAAATATGTAAAAGTGTGTGAAATTTTATAAAGATAGTTCTGAAGAAATTCTTTATGATTCTGCATTTAACATTTGCAGTAATAATGGCTTATTATAAAAACTAAGTAGACATAACTATATCAAACAATTTATAGGTAAAGTAATTTCAGTTTAATGTATCAAACATTTTGTCAGCTAAACAAAATTAGAATACAGAAATGTAATTTATCCATATATTACAAATGATGACTGAACACTCTTACTTGTTTTGCATAAACCATCTCTTACTTTATATCTACTTCTACAGTCAAACAATTTTAATTCTCCCCCTTCCTTTATCAACTTTTTACTCTGGTTTTTTTCTCATTGTATTTTGTCCCATACATGGATCTCTGTAACAATAGGCTCATCAATTTGATATATAATCTAGTACAGTTATCATAAAGAATTTGTATAGAGGTCATCATTAGGATTTATTAGTTGTTTTTTAAGACTCGTAACATATTTTATAACAGTGTTCCACAGATATCAATCAGTACATTTTTGCCTGATGAAGGCTCCAGTAGGAGATGGAAAAGCCCACAAATAAAAGTATTTTAACATAGAGAAAAGTTCATGTATAATATTTCTATGTAACTGCCTTTTAACAGATCTTAGCTGGTTCACTTTCATAATTAATTTTGTTCTGTTTCATGAATGGGCTTTTCATCGGTGGTGTACAAAAAAAAAGGCATCCATTTCAGGTGTTAACTAGGTAATTGTGCCTGTTATAAACAAAGCTCTTCCTCTTTTATCAAATCTGTTATATTCATTTATTTTTTATTACTTTTAACACATAGGGATCTCTGCACAGAATTTTTATGTTTTATCAAAGTACTTCAGTTCCTTTCATTGTTAATAGACATCAGTGCATGTTAAATAAAAACAAAACCCATTAGTCGAGAGATGTGCCCTTCCTGTTGATTATCAATGAGCTATTAATGATTGTTTTTAAGAATAAAATAACATAAGTTATTAATCCTTAGAGTAAAGTGTGCATGTCATTACCTTTTTACAGAGTTAAATTCAAAATGTAAACAAACAACTTTGAATATTATACAAGCTTTAATTTCAAAAAGAAATATTTAGATAAATTCTAAGCCTTTATTTGTCTGTATCAAGTGACATTTCTTAGCTTCAAGCTTCTCATTTTAGATTTTCGTCTACCCCGATATGACCTCAGAACTTTCCGTGGAATGTACACTTATATTATACATATTCCTGGAGTAAACTGCTTTTGCTTTATGGAGATATAAGCAATAGACTGAAGACCACATGCCAAACTCCATCGAGGTACAACCCCATTTTTAAAAAATGACGTTAGTTCTCTTCTACATTAGCTATTGGATTATCTATAACCTATAGAAAGAGAAGATTTCAATTTAAAAATGCAAAGGGGGCTGAAACTATTGAAGTAAAATGTTTTGAACATTTTGCCATTATTGTCTTTGTTTGTCAGAATGGAACTCTGCTTGACCGGATATGTGAATTATTTAACCAACTTCTAGTATAAATCATATTAATTTTAGAACATTCTATTTTTTGTTAGTGGCAATATGTCATGTTCTAACTTGCATATTAGCATTGAATAAAATCATTTCTGAGACCACACTATCATTGCTACGATTTAGGCCTAGAGTTTCACGTAGGCTTCTACTATAAAAGTACAAAAGCTCGAAAAAGATTTCAGACATAAGTACTAAATTTTTTGTTTTTTATATGTATATTCTTCAATTATTGCTGTAAAAGAAACTAAAATGGAAAAAATAAACTTGCTAGATTAGATAACAAAAACCAAAATAAACACAGTAGTTGTGTAGCACGAGCTCAGCATAAATGTGATTGTGTAATTCAACATGCATGTGCTGATAACTTGAGCCTTTGTTATAAAAGAAACTATCTGTGCAAAAAAATTTATACTTGCATATTCTGAGAGAGTCTGAATGTAACTGTAAAGAAATAACACTAAATGGAAAACTGTTAGATTTGGCTGTTAAAATAAATAATTTGTAATTGTCTGTTACAATGTGCAGTCATTCTATAGTGTGTTTGAAAAAGTCTGGAACAAGTTTCACAGAATGTGTTTCATATGCTGTCCTTGTAATTTGAAACAAGTTTCTACTAACAGTAGGATTAACTCGACCTTCTCGTATTTTGACAGTGCCATAATTAGTCATATCGGAAATTAAGAAAAGCTGCAAATAACCCATGGCTCCAGACTTTTCAGACACCCTGTAGTTAAGTTTACCAGAACATTCAAGGTCACCAGTTTTTTTGTCCTCCCATTCATAAAAAAAAACTACTTTAAGTTTCGAATAAATGCAAAACAGTACAAATAACGTTAATATTGGGGTGGGGGTGGAGGGTTGGTAAAATATGACGAACAGAAGAATAGTACAAATAATATTAATGTCGGGGACTCGGTAAAATATGACAAATAGAAAAATGGTACAAATAATATTAATGTTGGGGGACTCGGTAAAATATGACGAATAGAAGAATAGAAATTAAGAATAGCTACAAATCATGAATGGATCCAGCCTTTTGTGAATACCCTGTAGAAAAAGAAAGGGGTAATTTGGATTCATTACATATCTTTATCTTTTTTATCTTTCTTATTTTTTTTAACATGGTGGTTACAAGGTCGGTTCAGTTAGTGTTAGTATAGAAAGAGAAACAGATAAAATGTAAAGGTTTACCAAAAAAAACTTTTTAAATTCATCTATGACATTCTAGAGGTTATGCAAATAAAATTTGAAAACTGTAAGATGAAAATCACCTTGCACTCGGACAAATCAGAGACTGAATCTGACTTACTAAAGTAACTTCAGTGACACATTTTTAGTAGAAATACTTTATTGAAAAAAATTCTTTTATTTTTTTGATGTACAACATACTTGTAATTTTTACCAAAAGGTTACAAAATTTCAAGAAAATGCAGTAAATAAATATGGAATTATAGTGAACATTATTTCTCCAATATGGGCTCAGTCCAATGGACCGACCTCATATACGTAGGGATAAAGACTAGATACTGATGTTTCTGTGCTGGTGCATACTTCTAAAATGTAATCTCTCCTCTTTCTTCTTTTTTAATAGGTTGAATGATACTTCACGGAGAATCAACCTAAAAAAGCTGCCTTTGGTTTTTGTCCTTCATCTCAAAAGGCTTGTTCAGGACAAACGTTGAGGATCTAAGAAAGTGATGAAATCTACAGAATATTCTGTCAGCTTAGATCTTTCAAGAGGTAAACATTGCTACTGTAATTTAAAGTAAAAAGTGTATGTGGAGATTTGTTTTTATGTATGCGAAAGTTTCAAGCTTTTAGATTCAATTAGATATATTTATAGTATGTGTATTGTAACATTTAGTCAAGTAGCAAAGAAACTTGATCATCAAACATTGGGAGTCTCGTAATTACTACAGTATGTCACTTAAACATTTATGTGGTCAGTTTCACTTTAAATGACAATCTTTTGCAAATGATATAAGTTGATTTAAATCTAATCTCATTAGCCGTTTATTTGTGTTGTTTTAAGCATCTTTTGAGGAGACATTGATTTCTAACAGTTATTTTTTGCTATTGCAGACTTGCTGAAATGTGGAGCAAGTACAGTTCATAAATTTCTCTGTTCTTACAAGTTGTTTGATGGCAAGATGATTTTACTGAAATAATTTTATTTTATTTTAGATAAATTTTCTACAACTTCAAAAATTATCCATATTTTATGGGCAATTTTTCATTGATAAGGAATAGCTAATGCTATTAAACGTTCGTGTTATATATATTTTTGATGATAGTTGTTTCTGTTGTTTTAAGTTGAATATTTTTGCAAAGGTAGTAGTTTAAAGGTTGACACATTTTTCCATTAACTATCGTAATCTCTAAAGGTAGAAGTTTAAAGGTTGACACATCTTTCCATTAAATAACCTGATCTCTAAAGGTAAAAGTTTAAAGGTTGACACGTCTTTCCATTAAATAACCTGAATATTCTGCTTATAAAGATTAAAATGCATTGTTTCATCAACTGGATGCACTATTTTTTCTATCGTAACTCCAATAATACATTGTGCTACAGCCAGCTCAGGAGATTTAGTTTAGTCCTAACTACATATATTAAGCTAACAATGTAGAACAGTCTCAGTAATGAAAGTATAACAATAAAAAATAATATTAAAAAGTAATGAATATGATATATTAAATAGTATAACCAGTACTGTTAATGAAAGTAACAGTACATGAATAATATAGCATATCTTACTTACAGAACACTAACTCTAGGCTTCAACTATTAATACAGAAATTCTGTTTTGTATTATAGCATCGCACATATTTGTTTTTTGCTTAGAAAACCCTACTAGCAGACCTGTTTGTGTTTGTTGAATTTTTTTGCACACTGATTTAGTGGTACTAGGTGTGAAAGATCTTAATTAAAAAATAATAAATATAATTTTAAAGAAAACTGTAGTCAAGTGACTTGTGTGTGAAACATTGATTTGTTACGTGGATGTTTTATTTTTCTCCACTTATTAGATATAAAAGTAAATCTAGAAAAGCCTACATCCTAATTACTGTTTAATGGTTTCTTAGTGCATGATATGAATTATGTTGAGTGTTGGTGTGCCGATAAGAGATCAGTATTAACTTTTGATCAGAGAAAGCTATGGTAATTAGTATAGCTAATACGTGGTTCTGGAATGAACTGTGCTGACCTTGTTTAACCAGGTAATACCCAAGCTGGCATTAATATCATGGTTTACTTGTAATATGAAAGAGAAGAATATAGCTAATTAAATATACTTTTCTTGAAGGTTGTTGAATTTGTCACTACTAATCTTTCTTCTAAGCACCTTTAGAACCTACAGCATCTCCTCATTAATGCAACTTAGAAACTCCTCATCATCTTCCTGGTGCCTCTAATAAATAGTATATTATTTAATGTAAGTATCACCTGCAATGCTTGATTTAAAATTTTTTTTTAAATCAATATTCTGTAAACTACATTTGTATTAAGATCTAAACTGCCAGAACCAGAGCGTGCAATTAACTTGGTTACTTTTGGGCACTGATCAGTGTCAGGTAAAATAATCATTTAAACAAAATTATGATTAAATCAATTACTTTCATCAAAATAATCACCTAACCAAAATTAGTATTTCCAATTATTCCAACCGTCCAAGTTTCATGAGAACAATTGATTAGTTGAATGTAACAGATTAACAAGCCTGATGATTAATTTAATAGAATATTCCATTAATCACCAAGCTCTAATTAAAACAATACATTTCGTGTTACAGAATGCTTAATATACTGTTTAATATCACCAAAAATCAGTGAAAAGGATATTCTTATAATACTTCAATTTAAAACTTAAACAAGAGGGGATTTTCAAATGTCAGCTTATTAGGATGGTATTCAGGAAAGCATGGGCACCCACAGGAATGGGTAAGAGGAGACATTTGTCTCCCCCCCTACATTTCACAAAAAATTGCATGAATTATGATGTAAACTTAGCATTGTAGTTAAACTAAATATCTTTAGTAAAACTTTAAATTTGTGTTTGCATTTAAGCACACATAACATGTATTATTTTAGTCTGTTGACTTACACTGTAAAAACTGATCCCCTACAAACATGTTTTATTCCCCCTTGCAAGGCCTTCTTCCTGTGAACACCATTTACCATCAGCCTACCAGATGATGCAGTGCTTTCAAGCAAGATGGAGCTCCTACTTATTTAGCCTGAGTCACAAAACAATGGCTTGAAGGTCAGTGCATTGCCACCCAAATGTGGCTAAGCCAGTTGCTGGATTCAAATTCTATCTAGCATGCATGATTTATCCTTGATCATTCCCTCTTTCCTGCATGGACACCCACAGAAATATTTTCTGTGGTTTTTTTACAGACAATTGTCCGTACTTGCACAATTCTTGAACGGTTGATGCACTCAGGTTTGGTGACTGTCCTCCCACAAACTTTTATTGAACTTTCTTCAAGGCATGGCACAGTACGGTGATGTTTCTGCTATGGTGTGGAGTGGCATTTAAGTAGCTAAACTATCGTAGTCAGTGTTAGGGAAAGAACTGTTACTCTGTTCAATACATCATAATTCTCAAGTCATAGCTGGAAGATTAGTGACATGGAAGCCACTTCTCACTCCAAACAATATAACACTTCAACAGCAGTGGGCATTACAGATGCTATCACACCTTCTTCCGTTTGGGAACAAAGTAGATAACATATTATACTAAGTTAAAAGACTTAATTTAAATAATGTCATTCTCTGTGTACAAGATACTTATAACCTTTAACAAAGTCTTACCACTTTTTATGAGGATAGTTTAAGAAATCTCAGAGTTACCATATATATTGTTGTACATGCATCATTCCCCAGTCAGGTTCCTGCAAGTTGCAGGAGACTAATGCAAAAGGGTTAAGTGAGATATTCTTACATAAATTCTTAATGAAATATTTTGTTTAATAAGGATTTGCTCAAACGTATTAATCATTTCTGATGAAATGTGAATAATATATAACTTCATAGAGATAATAAGTTTGTATTTTCAGGGATGTCTGTTTTATATTTATGTATAAGAAAATAGACACACCTGAGAACACAAGTTAATTATCTCGATGATGTCATATATAAATAACAAATAACCCTAATGTGTAAATATGAGTATAGCTTGATAAGACCAAAGAGTACAACAGGCCATGCCAGGAATGAAAGGATTCTAGGAGGTCACTGTATTTTTGTTATCAGAGGGTGATCAAAAACAGCTAGAAATTTCCAAGTCACTTGTAGTAATATTGTCCACAGTGACTAGAGTGACAATGCAGTTCCAGTTATGTCAGAAGACAGTAGTTTCTGCATGGCTCAGGTACCCAAAAACCAACGGAACAAACTCTTCATGCTGTAAGAAGTGTAGGGAATGACCCATGTCAAGTGGCCACTGCTGTTGCAGGACAAGTTCAAGTGTGTTTCAATACTGTCAGAAGTTATCTTCATAGCTGGAAGATTAGTGAGGAATGACCCATGTCAAGTGGCCACTGCTGTTGTTCAAGTGTGTTTCAATACTGATTGCAGTTATTTGTACTCAGACTCTGAATAATTTGAGTACAAGGTGATGTTCATTTCAAGTATAAAAATACTTTTCTTCATCTTATAGTTTTCAAGTTTTATTTGTATGACCTTAAGAACCTCCTAAAAGAATATCAAAAGTTTTTTAAGTTAGATGTTTATATTTTATTTTTAATTTTCTCTAACATATCACTAACTGTAAATATTATCATCAACATAGTGAAATGAAATGTTTAAAATTAAGAAATAGAAAAATTTACATATCCATTAATTTTTTTGTAGAATATCTTAAAAACCTTTTGATGATATTTGTAATCTCAGGTGTTTTACTTTTCACATATACTTAATATACCTTTACTTTTAGTATTCATCTCAACACAAGGCAATGATGCCCTCGAGGCAGATTACAGTATCTTTGGGAGAGGTGCGCAAGCCTTCAGTAAAATTATCTTACAGTTGTGCAACATCATAACTCTTGAGAATGGGGCAATGTTTGAGATAAATTGTTTAAAATGTTTAAACCTTTCAACTGTGCATTTTGAAACATAAATAATACATAATTAACTAAGGTATAAAAGTGAAACCTAAATGAAATTTAACTGCCTCTTTAACTATACTATATTTAGGCAAGAAACAACAAGTGCTATCTTGGACAAAGCAACCAACAACAGTACCAGCAGTTACATCTACCAGACGACAACCGAGTGTCAATTTCAAAATAACCTGTGTTGGATTATAGTGTAAAATGAGCTCTTTCTAATAACCATATACATGTGTGTCAAATAACAACATACGACTTGTAAAGTACAAGGAATAGTTTAGAAGGTGGGCGTGGCACCTGTCAGGGGTTGGAAAAATTTATCTCTAGTTTCAACAGAACTCAGCCAAAGAACTTTGGAATGTATGTGTCAATAGGGCAAGTAAACGTACATATTTTCTAGACTTATATCTACCACAGTCTCTAGAGGGAGAATATATGTTCCCATAGCAATGAAAGATTTAAGTTCTCCCTCTCCCCTTCTTTCACTTTCTTTGCTAGCTTAACTTAAGGTACCCAAGCAACTTACTAGAATTACATATGTATGAGAGATTAGTATGTTATGGAAATAGTTATCCCAACAAAGTATTTTTTTCAATAGTAAATATTGTTTTCTTTATTGTGTGAG